CACACACACACACACACACACACACACACACACACACACACACACACACACACACACACACATACAAATACACGCTCACAGGCACAGATGAAGCAGTGGCTGTAAAATACAGATGTACCACTATAGATAAACATGTATAAATAACGATGCTTCAACTTGTTCTTGAATATATTCAAGGCCCTGTCTTCCCTGATGTTCTGGGTTAACTGATTACAGACTTTGGGCCCCTAAGAAAAGAAAGAGTGTAACGACTAGTTGGTTCTGCTTAAGTTTTAATTTTGTCTAAAGACGCTCTTAATTGCTTTGTAGGTGTATACTTATGAAGACCACTTGAGATCCTGTGTGGTGCAGCAGGCCCGTTTAGGGATTTAAACATAAGAGACAGATAACACTATTGTAAATAATGCGTTTGTTTATGGGTGACCAATGTAAATTTTTCCAGGATTTGGGTCACACGGTTTTCAGTGCTTTTTTTTTTATACGTCGGGCAGCGTAGTTTTAGACCATATTAATATTTTGGCGGCGATGAAAGATAATAACAACAATTATCATTGTTTTTATTCTTAAAGGGGCGAGGGTGCTCGAAAGGTCCCTCTGGTTTACCTTAATTCCCATCTTTCCCTTTGTTGTCTCCTTCAGTCAGTCTAACTATACCTTATGCTGAATGATAGATATTGGGTTAATGTGATTCTCTCTACTCATGGGTATTTTGGGGGAATCATGTCTGCCCTTCATTTGGAAGGGATACAAAAACCAGAAAGGGTCACTCCTCTTCTGAAAGAAAAGCGCAGAACCGGTTTTTAAAAAAATTGAAAGTTTGTTATCGGCCATTGCCTCTAAAGGGAAATATCAGACTGCTGCGGAGTTCTGCAGTCAGAAGACAGTGGCAGGGAAGGTTTCCCGGAATAGCGTCTAGAGAAGCCACATTACGAGGATCTGGCGGTGTCTGCACGGCCGTCTTGTGACATGAGTCTCATCTCTTAAGTCTTGTCTCTGACAGGTATGACGTCAGTTTAGCAGCGATAGCCCCCAATCCCACCCCTCCCCCTCCTTCCCACCGAAGAAGAACGAGAAGAAGAAGAAGAAGAAGAAGAAGAAGAAGAAGAAGAAGAAGAAGAAGAAGGAGAAGAAGAATACAACGAAGACGACGAGGAAGACGAGGAAGACGAGGAACAAAACAAAAATGAAACAAAAAATGGATCTAACTACTGCTTATCACGCTCCTAATTCACGCACGGAACTTCCACAAATAACGAGAGACCTCTCAGCCACCATGATAACCCTATTTGGATCATTTTAGTTACATTTGCTTTACGTAGTTAAAAGAAGCTGGGTTTTTTTAAAACTATGCTTTTCTTTTTAACACTTTAGCCCAAAGGGATCACTCTGATGGAAAAATAACGTAGGCATTTAACCTTTTGTAGAAGGGTGTTCAAATATGTTGTAAAAGACTGCAAGCGAAAAGCAGTTCGAATTCCACTCAGAGAGAGAGAGAGAGAGAGAGAGAGAGAGAGAGAGAGAGAGAGAGAGAGAGAGAGAGAGAGAGAGAGAGAGAGAGAGAGAGAAAGAGAGAGAGAATAGCAGTCTCAGAACAACAAAAAGAAACGATTTTTATCCCCAAGACCTCTTAACCCATTTACGATAATAGTCCAAACTGGGATAGAAAATCTTTAGGGATACGGACAATTCCACTAAAGGACATTCCACCTCACTTGGAATCACTGAAAGACTCACCGAATAATTGTATAGCACTAGACTAGCACTAGGTCACAAAAACACCAAAAAGCTTTTTTCTTTCCGCTCGACTGTATTAGTTCTTCGATCTGGTGTGAATTGACATTATCGGCGACCTCCTTTTATTTCGGACTCGTGTCATGCGGAGTACATCCTTGCAAAAATGTTTTCAAGCTGCGTTAATGTGTGTGGGTCTTTCATGCAATGCGATTCAGTCAAATCATTAATCTTGAAATTCGGAGTAGGCTTTATTTGGGTTAATGATCAACGTTATCTACAAATTCTGTTGTTGAATAAATAATTGATTGGACAACTTTCTATTTCAATGTCCTTTTCAGTGTCATCAGCGCTCTTAGTAAGTGTGTGGTTAGCGGGTACTGAGGTGTGGTTTGCTCCTTCCTTTTATCAAACATCTATCATCTTTCTTTCTCCTCCTTCTTTTTTGTATTTGTTACCATTTGTGACATCTCTAATCTTCTGCACTTATGTAACCTTATTGTGTTGCAAGCACTGTAAAACTCTTACTTAAACAAACAACTCCTGGTAAAAGGTTTCTCTGCGGGTTTTTAATGCACAGAAGAGCACCGTCCATTTGGTTTCTGTCCCTGATCTGTCATTGTGCGGACCCTTGTCTGGATATTTTGAAAAAAGCTGTGTTGAATTGAGACACCATCTTTCTAAAAACGCTATAAATTATTTCAAGGTGAAGCGCTCATTCCATATTCAAGTAAGGGATAGAAACATAAACAAACAACCCCTTCCTATCCCCCATCCAAAAAGGAAATAAAAAGGAGGAAATGTAGATATGGTGTAGAAAAAATGTGTGTCTATATCAAACTCTCTCCTCTTTTTTGTGCTTGTTACTCTCTCGTAACATATTTAATCTTCAATATTTATGTGACCTATTTGAGTTGCAACTACAAAAAAACCCACTATCTAAAACAACCCCCCCCCCCCCCCACCCCCGGAAAAAAGCACAAATAAAAACTAAACAAAAAAACGTAACGTGTCGTGAACGAATGTCGTTTGAAGAGACCTTGACAAGCGTCTTTGCTGTGGCGGTTTGGCGCTTCGCTGTCGCACACAGAAGACTCGAGTTTGATTCCCCGAACTGGGAGAATATTTATCGAATACCTGGGTCTATCAGCTGGGATGTTGTACCTATGGGGAAAAAAGAGAACTTATCATTATGACTCTTTCCATTTTGTATTATTTCTTTTGACTGGTGTTTGTAGTTTAATAGTAAAGTTAGACTTTTAGTATGCAAAAGACTTTTGAACATTCTTCCGTTGTGTTTACCGAATAGGGGTCCAAGTTTACGTTTACCACCGAGAGAGGGCAAAGAGGTCCACGCTAGAAAAAAACTCACTTTATTGACCGTTTAATCGAAGGCTTGTCGAGCTTTTAAAGGAACTCTCAAGTGACTTCAGAATTGATCGAATAATGGTAGGACATGTTTAATTTGACGCCCCGGTTTCTCCATGTCGATCACGGAACATTCAGTTTGTTTTAGATGAAAGTTGAGTTAGGAATAACAGTTTTGATTGAAAATGGTTGTGGGATTCTTTCCCTTCTCTGTTCTGAAAGTTATTCTCCTTTCTTTTCGGAATTTGAATATTCTTGAAATCATTTTGCTAACTTCAAGGAAGAGTTGCTCTTTGTGGGTGATTGGCAGATGGTCGCTTGTAGTTTGCTCATTTTTTCCTATCAAACACCTGTCGTCCTTATCTCTCCTTTTTTTGTGTGTCTGTACTGTTACTCTGTTTTAACACATCTAATGCTAGGCACTTACATGACCTAACTGTGTTGCAAGTTCCGTAAAACACTAGCTAAAACGTACAAAAATCTGTTTTTAAATGTTTTAACTATTTATTTATTTTGCCCTGTGTACTGGTTTTAGTTTTTTATGCTTCTGTATTTTATTTATTTCAGGCATTTCTCTTTCGACGACCCCAGCGAATGGACTAAACTATTGTCATCTAAGCCAACATGGGAGCTGAGGACTCAATGTCTGAGTGGCCCTACCCTACATACCAACAACAGAAGAGAGCTGCGAGCACCATTCTTGACATAACCATCAAGCAGCCTTTCTCTAAGGAGAAACAGTCCCCGTCGAGATCGACTAACGTCCGATATCCTCGATTAAACGTAATGTAAAAGTTTCATCAAGTGTATTTGTGTTTGTGATAAGGACTTTCCCTGAATAACAGGTTTTTCAAAAAAAATACTACATCAACCCAACAAGACAGTGAGTGGGGGGAAAGTCTGAGTAATAAACAATATCAAGTCGAACAGACGGACTGGACAGGCAGAGGTAGCAGCCTCAGCGAGGCGAGAGAACTCTTGCTGGGGTGTGACAGGAAGTGACGTTGCCAGTTCTCCTGGAAAAAGACGATGCCGCTCGAGGTGACCTACTTTTTCAGTGTGCTGCCGTTTCCGCTGTTTGTTGCACTCCTCGGCTCTGTTCTGCTCTCTGTCGGTGTTTTTCTGAAGAACATTTTCAATATGGCGCCCACGGAACTTCCTGGTTTATATTATCGAGAGTCACCTCTCAATGCACATGTCCTGGGTAAGTACTGTTTATATTTCTTTTTGTACACTCATATATTATACACACACGCACACAAAACAAACATGCTCACACAAACAAACACAAATACACGCACACACACACACACACACATGCACAAACACACACACACGCACACACGCGCGCGCACACACACACACACACACACACACACACACACACACACACACTCACATACCAAAAAAATCCGCGTCTACACATACACAAACATTTACTTATTCTCACTCACACGGGAAGAAAAGTTACAAGTGTGACACAAAACATGCTTGCATTCTCTGTTGAGCATAAATTCGAAGGGCGATCCGTTAGCTAAGTGGCATCATGTTGGACTATGGAGAAGATGACCCTGCCTGGTTCGAATTCCAGAATGGGCATTCTCGAACTCAGGACGTTATGTGGAGTGTTCATGACTCTCAACCCATTTGGCTCAGTTCCATCAGACGGACTTTAAATTCGGAGGTCCAGCCGCGTGAATAACCTAACAGTGTTGATAAAGCTATACACTTACTCTTACTAACTTACCTTTGACATTAAACGGGACTGAAACAAACTGCAGGACTCCGACTCAGTTTATCTGCTCAGGACTACTGGGTGTGTCCAGTGTTCTGGAAATAATTAAACTATAAAGTGAGCAACCCCGTCTCAAGTTCTCAAGCCCAGACCGTAAACTTTTTCAAGAAAGAGAGAAAAAAAAATAACCTCACCCCAACTAGTTTCATTTTAAAATTAGTACACTTGCATGTATACGATTATTTTCTTGATCGCTTCAACATTTACATTTTTAAGTTGATAAAATATTTCTCGAGTACACACAACGACATCACAATTTAAGAAAGAACATATTTATATACATATTGGGCTAAGTAGATCGGAATAGCTGCTTGATTAATTTATTATCTCCCTGAGCTGGAATGAATATAGTCTCTCTCTCTCTTTCTCTCTCTCTCTCTCTCTCTCTCTCTCTCTCCTCTCTCTCTCTCTCCTCTTTCTCTCTCTCCTCTCTCTCTCTCTCTCTCTCTCCTCTTTCTCTCTCCTCTCTCTCTCTCTCTCTCTCTCTCTCTCTCTCTCTCTCTCTCTCTCTCTCTCTCTCTCTCTCTCTCTCTCTCTCTCTGTTCATCTCTCTCTGTCTTTCTATATTTCGCTTTCCTTAATGGTAACAAGAAACAAACAAAAAAACGAAAATAAGAACAAAGAGATGTTCTCAACATGTTCCTTGTACAAATAATTCCCTTTCCTGTTTTCTTGAAAAAGAGACCTGTAAAATATTGATCAGGACCAACCCACTGAAATGAGTTAGTTTTGGGTTTTACTTCCTTGTTCGCCCTTTTACCAAATAGCTCCTTCTGTGTACTCCAGCCACCCCTATAGTATAATCAAATATGGCGGACGTAGCATTGACGTTCACCTTTCCTGCTAACTACGTAATGGTCGTCAGTACGCTACCTCAAAATTACAACGTTCTATCTGCTCAGTACCTCGTGTTGAATATTGACGTCACTGATTTTGAGTTTCACATCATTTTAAGCTTTTTCGAATGCAATTCTTTGAATATCTTGATGACGACCCCAAATAATCTTACAATATTGATAGAGCAGATCGAACATCTGATATCTGACACATTATCTTAGTGACTCAAAACGGCCAAAAAATGTTAGATAGAACTTTGTAATTCTGAGGTAATGAATAGGCAAACTACTCGCACCGTTGAGCACTCGTTCATTTAAAAAAACGAATCTGCGTGAACTGAGTGGCGCACAAATAGAAAAGGTAGTGAATACACCCTAAAGCCCGTGAGTAACAACATTGTAATTATTTTGATCATATATTATTATTTCTTATAACAGGTTTGCCTGTGTGCATCTACAGTAACTTTTACCAAGCAAAACATGAAGAGAGAACTGTAGGAACAGCGGTGATAATGATAATTATAGTTAAGAAAAATACAGACGTACTCTTCCCCTGTACTGTGAGGTACACAAAGCAGAGGGCAACCGACGCCGCACGTGTTTGTCCGCGCCACTTTCTCTAATCCTGACATATACATGCTCTGATCGAGTGATTGCCCCATTACTAATTGTGTTTCTGTAACTTGCAGTTTGTCTACCTCTTCTTCATTTTTCTTTTGATCTCTAGTACCATGTCTATTGGGCAATCTTGTCTCTGGAATAACAAAACAGTAAATGTCTTAAATAATCTAAATCTTCTCCTTTTTATAGTTGTGTTGATATCTTTACTCCCAGTAGTTTCTAACTCTTCATTATTTTTGTTATAAATTCATTCCATTTTATAATGATATTCCTCGAAAGCAAATAAAGATTTTTTTTTTAAACTTTTGTTTATTTGTTTTGCCTGTTTCCCACAGTATCTATCAACCAAACAGCAGTACCGCCAATACATTGCTGTTATACATTTTTTAAATATTAGTCGTCAGTAAGATGATCTTTGAACTCAAGAATTTAATGGAGTTTAATTTTACAAAACGATTTATGCATTTTAAAACCTTTGGTTGACATCGCATAGCAGTTTGCAGTTTTGAAGATAAAACTGCCACAGTATTTAAAATGTATTGATTTTTGCCTCACGCTGTCCATAAAGAATTATAGAAGGGGTTTCTGGTTTTAAAAAATAATAAAATTGCAGCACCTTTGCTTTTGAGAAAAAAATATTATTAGGCCGTTTTTTTCCTGCAGATCTTGCCAATTCATCAGCTTTTAATTGCTTTTCATTCACTGTGGTGTTAACCTTTAATAGGCGACTGTCATTCTCAACATCTTAATCTCTCAAATGTGTACCACTTACCAATCTAATGCATGGAAGTAGGATGACATTAACGTGGATTTCCTCCTTTTTGTCAGATGCTGGCTTCCCCCCAGCTCGAATTGACTCTGACATGTCGTTACCTCAGAATTACGAAGTTTGATCTGACATTTTTAGCCGATTTGAGTTATAAGGACCATGAGATCAAAAAATCAAATACTCTATCCGCTCCATCAAAATCGTAGGATTATTACAAGTCGTTATCAAGATATTCAAATAATTGTATTCGAAAAAGCTTAATTGACTTAATAATTGAGAAAGTCAAACATTTTTACGGTATATTTCTCCAAACTTGCTCGTACTAAACAGATAGAACTTTGTAATTCTAGGGTAGCGATGAGGCGTCAACGAAACCACCCACCTCTAAATGACCCTGATTGGGTCGGCGGGGTCGTAAAGCAGCTGCAGCAGTTACAACCAGTGATTGACACTTTGACTTTAACATGACATGGTCAATCGAGCATTTCTCCCTCCACCCCACCCACCCCCCCCCAACTCCCATGCCCCCTACTTATAATTACATATCTTTAAACGACGGTCATGGTCAAAGAGGAAGTTATTTCAAGGGGTCACGTGAAATACAGGCTAAGTCACATTGATCCTATCACGATTTAGTCTATTTTTCACTAGTTTGTGATGGACATGGCTTGTTCCTAACTGGTTTTGCTTTAATAGAAATACAAACATGTAGTTTGAGAATGATTTATTAGGTTTTTCAGGTGATTGATTTCATAGGGATATTTTACACAAATGTTTGTTTTAAGTTAAAGGCTGATATCCTGTTTTGTTTCGTTGTTTTTTTTCATTTTTAAAAATGGTGTTATTTGTTTTAACATTAGTCTTTCATTATTATTCTAACTTGTCTAAACTCTCTGGTTAAAAAAATTATTAATGATGACATAATATGTACTTACAGATTGCTACTACTACAACTGCATAATAATTTTGAGTTTATTTGATCTGAAGAAGAAGAAGAAGAAGAAGAAGAAAAAGAAGAAGAAGAAGAAGAAGAAGAAGAAGAAGAAGAAGAAGAAGAAGAAGAAGAAGAAGAAGAAGAAGAAGAAGAAGAAGAAAAAGAAGAAGAAGAAGAAGAAGAAGAAGAAGAAGAAGAAGAAAAAGAACAGCAGCAGCAGCAGCAGCAGCAGCAGCAGCAGCAGCAGCAACAACAGCAACAATAGCAACAACAAAACAAAAAAAAACAACAACAATAACAACAACAACAAGGAACTCTAAACATTTCTAAATCTCTATAAAAACATTATATCAAGCATGTATTTGGACAACAACCACAATGATAAGTTGGAACCTTTGCCTTCCACAGCCAAACACTAAATTAATATTTTTTAACTTGTAAAACCATCTAATATTTGAACACTAAACATTTCTGACCTAGTTGCAAAATCATCAGTATTTGAACTCTAAGCATTTCTAAACTTGTTACAAAATCATTATAATTATATTTTAACAACATCTTAACGATAAGGTTTAAACCTATACTCCCCACAGCCAAGTGTAAACTCAAGGAGCGACAGTTCAGCCCGTGCCCCTGGCTGGGACACAGACACGTCCAGACGCTACTGCCCGCCATCTTGCCCAAACCTGACGTCACATTTGAGCGGGAATACCTGCAAATGCGAGACAAGGGCGTGGTGGCGCTTGACTGGGTTGTCTGCCCTCAGGCCAAGCCCAAGAAGTGAGTTAATAGCATGATTATCTGCCCCTTCCCAAGTGTAGAGCAGGTATTTTTAATATAATTAGATTGTTTCTCTTTTGTTGCGTACATTTTTGAGCTCTTTGTGTGTTTGTTGTTGGGTTGTTTGTTTTTTGTTTGTTTTTTGTTGTTTTGTTGTTGTTGTTGTTGTTGTTGTTGGTTGCTTTTTTTTTGGAGGGGGGGTTGGGGGGGTAGGGGTAGGTAGGGTATGGAGGACAGGTGGGGGGGGGGGGAGGGTTGGGGGGTCTGATTCGGATGTAGATCAAGGTGTTGGTTATTAAAAAGTCTATCTATCTATCTGTCTGTCTATCTGTCTGTCTGTCTGTCTGTCCGTCTGTCTGTCTGTCTGTCTGTCTGTCTGTCTGTCTGTCTGTCTGTCTGTCTGTCTGTCTGTCTGTCTGTCTGTCTGTCTATCTAACGTTGGTACTCTGATGGAAACTCACTAACTTGAATTTTGACGAAACTCGGGGAGTGGGCGATGGAGGGGGGGGCACCATTAATGATTCCTGATACCTTGACAAACAATTAGCCCACTTCTTAGATTTTTAAAAAATATTTGTGTCTTTATGGCTCCATCGACGCAGTTTAGATCATTAAGGAGACGGGGTTCCGACCCTGCCTGTCATGGCCAAACCGGGCTGAAGGTGATACAACACTCCAGCAGAAAGACAGAGATACTCGATTAAGGTTACTCCCCGTTCGGGATTTGAACTCGGATCTCCTGCGTGCAACAGGTAAACATATAACCTCTACACCGCAGACGTCGACCACGCTTCTTAAATTATCTAAATGATGTCGTTGGTGGCGTAAAACGCGGTTGGTTGGAGGGCGCCACTGCCAGTATTAATTTGTCTTTATCGTGTCGATGTGCTTCTCTTAACTTAACGATATTATCTCTCCTCCCATTGTGTGCTTGTTACTCTCTTTAAACACCTCTAATCTTCAACACATATACGACCTAAATGTGTTGCAAGTGCTGCAAAACTCTTACTTTAACAATCAAACAAGCGACATAAAACATCCACAAATTACAATTACAATGAACATTTTTTTTTTCTCTTTACTTGGCCCCGCCCCCTCCCAGGAGAAGAGCGACAGTCCTCTTGGTTCTTCCGGCCCTCACAGACGGAGCTCTGAGCGTCACTGGCATCTGTCACACAGCCAGTGGGCGGGGCATGAGGGTGGTGGTCTTCAATAGGCGGGGCCACGGAGGCAGTGTCTTGACCACGCCCCGTTTGCAGGTACGATGAGTGACGTTGTTTGTCATTTCTGAGCGCGCCAGTTTATCCGCTTGCATTTCGTAAGATTGAATGAAATATCTGCTTTATTGTTTGTTTGTCGGTTTACTAGTCTGTCTGTCTGTCTGTCTGTCTGTCTGTCTGTCTGTCTGTCTGTCTGTCTGTCTGTCTGTCTGTCTGTCTGTCTGTCTGTCTGTCTGTCTGTTCACGTGCCTGTCTGTATGCCGTTGCATTCATGTCTATCTATGAAATCTGTGGGTTTGGGGGGGGGGGGGGGGGTTTACATCTAGAAGTTCAGCGCCCCCTCTGTCCTCGGATCCTATGTGACCGTACTTTTAATTCTCGTATTAAAAAGCAAAATGTTATGAAAATCAGATAATGATGTCTTCTAAAATAACAATAATGTGTATATTTATAAAGACCTGGCCTATGAACAATCTGATAAAGCCAATTAGAAATAGATTTAGACCGTTTTGCTTTTCAGCAAATCCGTTCATTGGTAAGCTTAGCTTACGACCCAGGACAACGCCCCATGTCTCATGCTAGACCTCGCTTGATGACCCAGGGCGGAGTCTGGCAACCTTGATTTCGTGAAAATAGTCCCTACTGTAACAGAAAGTGAACGTAAAGGATTATTGTTGAATGTACAGAAAACAATGTATGGCAATATCCAAAGAAAGCAGCAAATCCTATTTGTAATTTCATTAGGAAAGGTGAAAAGATCAAACAAGTCGAACAGTTTAGATATCTAGGATACATAATAACATCTGATGCCAAATGTTCCTCTGAAATAAAACGGAGAATTGTAACGGCTCAGGTTAATTTTAATAAAATGAGCCCAATCCTGAAAAATAAAAACATCTCAATAACTATCTAAATGAAAGTTCTGAAATGCTATTTATGGCCAGACCTTCTATATTGCTGTGAATGCTGGACAGTCACTAAAGATAGTGAAAATGAAATAGAAGGAACAGAAATGGGGTTTCTTAGAAAACTGCCGAGAATAATCGTGGAAAGGCAATAAACCAAATGAGGTAGTGCGTGATGAAGCCCACGTGGGAATCTAATCAAATGGGTAACTGGGAAAGATCAGGGAAACATAGCTTTTTTTAAGAGCATCCAAGCAAAGAAATGAGTGGAGAACCATGATCGCCGATGTCTGTCGCAGATCAGTCACTGGATGATGATGAGTCCCTACTGGTCACTTGCTGTCGCGACTGATTTGTCAATCATAACACTGCCAGAACACATTTGGCGGAATGAGGTATAAGACTTATTTTAACTTCTTTGTAGTAGCTGATTTCATTTTTGGCTTTAGTATTTGCGTATCACGTAAAGTTTTTGCTCTATGACAAATGTGTATTTTCATGGAAATATGTCAAAATACAAGAGTTTTCACACAGCGTTGACTATAGGTTGATTTAAAACTTCGCTTTAATGAATCAGAGTAACTTGTTGAACTTTTAACTCTCTGAATTGTAATTAAAAATAAGTAAGTGATTAATAAAAGTTGAATCATGCCAATATTTCTGTGTATAAACGTAATAAAACACACTATATCCCTGCACGTACGTGCCCCACAAAAATGTAGCTCAACTACTGTCCATTTTCACGTCAATCTTTACAGGAGAATGCCAAACAATCTGAGAAAAGTATTGGTTTGCCTATAAAACTGTATTTTGTCGTTAAAACAGTTTTTAGAGATTTTTAATAAGTAGTGTGCCTAGGGATGAAAATTAAATTTATCACACAAATCGACTTCAAACTCCATGCCGCAGAAAAAAAAGAAAATTTTGTTTGCCTGTGTAATCTTTCATCATCATCATCATCATCATCATCATCATCATCATCATCATCATCATCATCATCACCATCATCATCATCATCATCATCATCATCATCATCA